TTGCATTCTTAAATTTATTTTCGATTTGCATACATTGTTAGTCATGCCGTTTTCTCCTATTTTGATTGTGTCAATGAGCTGCGTGACCTTTTTAACATATTTAAATGCACATTTAAATTTTTATCGGCGCTTACGCCGGGCAATGAGATTTGAGGGTTTCTTCTAAAATAAGAGTAGTTCATATGCATCAGTGGCACCTCAAAGCTAACTGCCATTATTCATTCTCCATTTAATTGACACATGTTTTTTTTTTCCTCCAAAGGATTAAATCCAGCTCAGAGATAACTGTCTATGAACCATTTAACTGTCATTTTAATATGCTACTTAACATTTAAACCAAGCACTCATGGTCTCCCAGATCGCTAATTGATGTAGTTTCATCCCTTTTATGAGACAATATATCTCCAACAGAGGGAAATTATTAACAATGATGAAAACTATTCATGGATTTCCTCTTTTGCCCGCAGAAGAAGTACATGAACAAGGTTTCTAAATTTTTCTAAACGTTTTTTGCATGCTTTGTAAGAATTTTTATGTAAAGGTCACTCAAACATACAGGGTTTAGAGCAGAAGCGGTTGTGCTGGATTGTATGTGACACCCATTGGCTTTGTGGGCTAATAAAACCAGAATTTTACTGAACAATAATTATTTTCTGCAGGAATCTCACACTCTGTGAATTTTAGTCACATGTAACACACATGAATTGCTGTGGTCTGACTTGAGAGAGGAGATGGACTCATGATTAATATGAAAATTAGGAAGACGCAAGTACCTGAACTAATCAGGTGGTCCTTATTCAGCCTGGGCCAGCGTGGGTAATGTTGCCATTTTTCATGTGTCAGCCCTGATGCAGGTTACCAGGAATGTGACGCTCTCTTGTTATCCAACAGTGTGAATGGAGAGCAAGGCAATGAGCACAAAGAGAACAGGACTGAGAGAGGAGAAGATGAGGAGAGCAAATGAGTGTTGGGGAGAGGAGAGACGACTAGCTGCAGGCTAAAGATGCAAAGTCTGAAATGCTATCAGAGGTCTTAATGAAGATATAAACTCGACGCTCACCCCTTAATTATTATAGACATGTTTAGCCTTTTTACAAGCTGCCTTCTTAGTGCAATATTATGGAGATGTTAACAAATACTACTCCGGGTAAAAAGACATTGTTTAGACAGAAGCCTCGCTGCTCCCAGCGTTACCAGGAAGCATCAGAGAGAAGATGAAACGCACCATTCTCACTACAAGCTGAGGGCAAATTCACTTTTAGTCCCCAATTATGCTAACAAGAGAAAAAATGATCTTTGGCTGCAAGTGGTTGTGTCTCATAACAAACTGACTTAGAAATGGCAAAGTCTTCAAGCTATGTTTTAATTCCCTAAACACTGATGAGGCTGTGAAATTTACTCCTGAATAACTCAATGTGTCCGCTTATTTGCAGCATATATATTGTTTAAACAGATCAAAAGCAATACTTAAAATATAGTTATATATATATTTATATTTGTAAAATATATATATACCAATATATCTATACATGAAACATTTTACTGCCTAGTATCAGTTTCGACATTGGCCCCCAAAAATCCACATCGGTTGAGCTCTAATTAAAAGATATACTTGGCATAAAGTATTTGTATTGGCCAACTAATCGGTAATATCGATATCAGCCCATCACACCCCAAAATTCCACTGCTTCCGTTGTGAAAGGAAAGCAGTCGGGAAGTCTCCTTTCATATCATTCATTATTGCTCCTTTACCTGTCAGAGCTTCTCCCTGCACACAGACTGAAACCCTGCACACCTCTCAAGGTTTCTTTGAGTTCAAAGAGTACCGCAGCCATAGGTTCTATCCTTCCTATTGAGGAGTACATTCCCACAGTCCCTCTGGTGTGTCCTGTTGGTTCCTACAGTTTTGCCTCGGTGATCATTCAATGATTAAAGCTCTACATTGTCTCCAGCCTGGGCAGAGTGTGCACTGCTTTTTCATACAAGATGAGAGACTACAGTTGTCCGTTTGACAGAGGCAAAGGCAATTCAGCTGGGTAGCTTGGCTGCGTAATAGGCAATCTCTTGTTCCTGTGGGAAAGGTTATTGCAAAGCAAGGCTTTCAAAGACCAATTTGCAAAGGGATTGTCGAGAGTTGGGTCAAGGTTTGAAAACGTAATAATATAATTTAGAGACATTACAATCATTATTATCCATGTGACATCAGCCCATGTTAGACTGGCTGTGTAATTTCAGTGCCATATTCTTGGGCTCTTTGAAATATGTCTGTACTTCCTGCTAGATATGTGAGATTTAGTCTAAAGGTTTGTAAATGGAGCAAGAGGAATAACAATTCCACTATCCCAATGTTTTGAAGCTGCATTAAGTCAATATTGATGCCATAGTCTGTTTTATATTAAGGTTAATTCCACTTTTTTGCTTTCCAATCTATGAAAAGGTGGATTTGTCTCCTGCACTGATGGCTCGCATCATCCTGGACAGATTCCTTCAGGACCTGGAGGGTGGAATGCGTGAGTAACACTTTTCCATTTCCCTTTGTGTCCTTTCTATCATTCCCCCCATCATTCTTAATTGTAGCACTTTGTCTTTTGAATCTCTTTCTGTTTAAGTCCCAATTTCTGCTCTTGCTGCTGTATTTTCAGCCTGTCGAAGCCTAATGAGACACAGACCACATTTAGTGGTAGCTGCATCCCAGGGCACATGACTGGCAATTAAGCACTGTGTGGACCACCCACCTCTCAACTGCGGTGTGGATCAATGCTAGCTCACCTCATCAGTGTTATTTATAACAGCCCTGATTTCTCCCCTTGCCCTCCTCCATCCCCCAATGCATCCATCTGCCTCTACCGTCTCTCCCCTCATCCCCTTCTCTTACTCTGTCCATACTGGTGATTGCTGCAGAAAGTGAGTTGATGGAAAGTGTTGTAGAAAAAGCAAACCTTTCCTCTGTATCGCTGATGGACATGGAGATACAAATATTTTTAAATGTGTCAAAGACATTGTCCAGAATTTGTAGTTATATTCATTTCATGACTAGACATTTCTTGTATCTTCTGAAAAAAAATGTTTCAGGAGAGATACCAACAGTTAAACTTGCGTTTGATAATATTTAATTCCCTTTCTCTTTCCTTTTTCGACTCTTATCCTGGGATTACCAAAAAATAGGCATATCCTGAGGCCTGGGTGTGTGTATCCGTGGAGTAGTCAGTGCTTTGAGAGTGAATCGCATGATGTCAAAAAGACGTGCTTCCAATTTAATCAAGAAAGAGATTAAAGTGGATGTGTGTTATTTTCAACTTCGCCACAGCACAGCCATTTGTCAAAGTCAAAGATGTGATTGCTTTGGACCCACCGTTATCCACTGCCTGTCAAAATACTAGTCTGAGCAGCTTGTAGAACAGGGCATTCATCCAGGAGGAGCACTCCGTCTCAGATAATAGCACATCGCATCCCTCCATCTCCATACAGTGAAAACATGCTTTATTATTGCTCAGAATGGATTTGTAGCCGATGAAACTTTGCGGATGATCGTTGTTTAATTTCAAAACAGTGTTGTAACCATCTTGTTGTAACCGTCTTAGCGTTTGCAGGCTAGTGAGCAATGTCATGGCCATGGTTCTTGTCAAAAGCGATTGCACAGATGGCTTTTACAGGATAGTCACAGATTCATATTTGCCGAACTAAGGACACACACAATGAAAAATCTGATATGATTTAGATCAGATTAAAATTCAGTTAAAATTTCATCTGGTAAAATAGTTTGACCATTATCTACTGAAATACTTTTTAAATGCAGCTTTAATTCGACAGTGCTGTTCCAGTGTTGCCCGTTGTAAAGTCAGTGGCCGTGAGGGTGACTTTTGTTTTTAAAGAGCTTCTCTGCAATCTCCTCGTGACCTGCTTGGCTGTCGCAAATGAATTGCTGCCCACTGGGCTGCCCGGTCAAAGTGTCCAATCTCCCCGTGTGTATATTAGACTCCATTAATGTGGTTCCATTATGAAACAATGCAAGGATAATTGTCTTTGTTGGCAATTAGCTAACAGGTTGGTTCAGTGCTATTGGCAGGCATATCTGTCATGCCCCCCTACAAGCCCCAGAGTGCGCTCCAGCATGCACGAGTGTGTTCGTGTGTGTGTGTGCTTTTGTCGGACTCCATAGGGAAGGCAGGCAGGCACACTGCAAAGATCAATAGACTTCTATATAAGGGACATTACCCCCAACTGGGTGAGTGGCTTGCCTTTTGCCTTGCACCATCGTCCTTTTTTTTTATTTCCCTTCTTTCTCTCTTTGCATTTAAGAGACACAGGAATGGGGCCTATGGGACTGTGGAATATATGTACAATCACTACTGCTGGATCAATACAGAGTTTTAAATTGTTTTCTGTCCCTTCCTTGTTTTGTTTTGCTCTCTTGTTGTAGCGCCCCCCCTCCCTTCCTCCTCCCCCTTTCCCAGTCCCACCTGTTTACTTTGACTGGGTTAGACGGGGATCTTGCATCACCTGCAGTGTCCTCTCTTTTTCTTTCTCTTTTTCTTCTTTG